CCCTTTTTGGTCGTGAACGCCTGCAACCATCCCTCAACTCTTCCTCATGCTCAGTGATTGATTTTGATTTGTAAACAGGCTAATTGGAGCATGCTTCGCATGCACGAAGTACGAAGACAAAGATCCCCCGTCCAGCCTTTAACAGACTGTTGGGGCAAGTGCTGTTAGCGAGCACATATGAAGGCCAACACGACACACGAGAGAGTGGGTGACCAGCATTGACACAAGCCACCTTCATCTCCCCAGTGCTGATGTCTACACACAGCAGCAGGTACTCATTTAAAGCTGCGTCAGCATAGGGGAGGCACAGAACTGGTTCAAATATCCAACACCAATGTTGGCAGTGAGCAGGAATCGAAGTCAGGACACAGAGTTTGTAGCTTAGTGCACTAACCACTGCACTACCGCTCCCTGCTACACAGCATACACGAACAACATGCATGTACATAAGAGACATTTGAAAATTTTATCTACAGCATATTAAAATAACCTATGGACCAACTGGTGTGTTACACAGTACTCATGATTGTATGTATATAGTTAACGCTAACACAACTGGATTATTTCACTTTTTTTCTAGCATATGTGGAAAACGGCTTCCTAATATGCCTAACGTAAGATTTGTTGGATCTTTAAAATATATATTATGACTGCCAACACAGTGGAGTAGTGGTGCATTTTTGTTCTGATATCTCTGCTTTCCATCTTCAACATGGTGACTCAGGTCACTCTTAACAATGACGCTTAATGTGGTCTCTCTGGAAGACTCACGGTTAAACAAAAATATTTTTTTTACTCGAGTGGTTCGCTTACTGTACTATTATGAAGCTAGCAACCCGAGGTTGATTCCTGGCCGGCGTTAACATCAGCAGCAACTGGTCCTGATATTTGAATCTTGGTCATCTCACAACAACCAACGTGGTGAAGGAAGGTCAAACAACTTCCATCTACAGTGAGGGGAAAAAGTATTTGATCCCCTGCTGATTTTGTACGTTTGCCCACTGACAAAGAAATGATCAGTCTATAATTTTAATGGTAGGTTTATTTGAACAGTGAGAGACAGAATAACAACAAGAAAATCCAGAAAAACTCATGTCAAAAATGTTATAACTTGATTTGCATTTTAGTGAGGGAAATAAGTATTTTACCCCCTCTCAATCAGAAAGAATTCTGGCTCCCAGGTGTCTTTTATACAGGTAACAAGCTGAGATTAGGAGCACACTCTTAAAGGGAGTGCTCCTAATCTCTGCTTTTTACCTGTATAAAAGACACCTGTCCACAGAAGCAATCAATCAGATTCCAAACTCTCCACCATGGCCAAGACCAAAGAGCTCTCCAAGGATGTCAGGGACAAGATTGTAGACCTACACAAGGCTGGAATGGGCTACATGACCATTGCCAAGCAGCTTGGTGAGAAGGTGACAACAGTTGGTGCGATTATTCGCAAATGGAAGAAACACAAAATAACTGTCAATCTCCCTCGGCCTGGGGCTCCATGCAAGATCTCACCTCGTGGAGTTGCAATGATCATAAGAACGGTGAGGAATCAGCCCATAACTACATGGGAGGATCTTGTCAACGATCTCAAGGCAGCTGGGTAACACACTACGCCGTGAAGGACTTAAATCCTGCAGCACCTGCAAGGTCCCCCTGCTCAAGAAAGCACGTATACATGCCCGTCTGAAGTTTGCCAATGAACATCTGAATGATTCAGAGGATAACTTGGTGAAAGTGTTGTGGTCAGATGAGACCAAAATGGAGCTCTTTGGCATCAACTCAACTCGCCGTGTTTGGAGGAGGAGGAATGCTGCCTATGACCCCAAGAACACCATCCCCACCGTCAAACATGGAGGTGGAAACATTATGCTTTGGGGGTGTTTTTCTGCTAAGGGGACAAGGCAACTTCACCGCATCAAAGGGACGATGTACGGGGCCATGTACCGTCAAATTTTGGGTGAGAACCTCCTTCCCTCAGCCAGGGCATTGAAAATGGGTCGTGGATGGGTATTCCAGCATGACAATAACCCAAAACACACGGCCAAGGCACCAAAGGAGTGGCTCAAGAAGAAGCACATTAAGGTCCTGGAGTGGCCTAGCCAGTCTCCAGACCTTAATCCCATAGAAAATCTGTGGAGGGAGCTGAAGGTTCGAGTTGCCAAACGTCAGCCTCGAAACCTTAATGACTTGGAGAAGATCTGCAAAGAGGAGTGGGACAAAATCCCTCCTGAGATGTGTGCAAACCTGGTGGCCAACTACAAGAAACGTCTGACCTCTGTGATTGCCAACAAGGGTTTTGCCACCAAGTACTAAGTCATGTTTTGCAGAGGGGTCAAATACCTATTTCCCTCATTAAAATGCAAATACATTTTTTAACATTTTTGACATGCGTTTTTCTGGATTTTGTTGTTGTTATTCTGTCTCTCACTGTTCAAATAGACCTACCATTAAAATTATAGACTGATCATTTATTTGTCAGTGGGCAAACGTAAAAAATCAGCAGGGGATCAAATACTTTTTTCCCTCACTGTACGTATGTGGAACTTCTTCCGCACCGTACGTAGTCAACCGTGCCTCCCCATGACCGACGTGGCATGGGGAGGCCATTATCCAGCAGTAGATTGATAAAGGGCTGTAAGTAATAATCATTGTTTTTCTTGTATTATTATTATGAATGTATTGTTATTATCATATACTACATATGTTGGCAACCGTGTAATGGTAAGAACAAAGGTTCCATTTAATCTCTCAGCGTGGTAGTTGAAACAGTGGTGGTGAGATGTTAACTCCCTCGCCTAGTGTGCAGGAGGATATGGGTTCGATCCAGACCCTGACACCTGTATATTTTGAGTTTTCGTGTTTCCCCTGTGGTCGCGTGGATTTTTCTGCGGGGCCTCCGATTTTTCCCTCCACATTTAGAATCAACGTGCATTTAAAGTATTTGGCTGCTATAAATGTCCACGCGATACGCCACTTCGTTGAGTTATCATTTGTGGGCAGGTCGCTTCTGAAAAAGAGCTGTATAGCTCAGTGGGCCTGACCTGGTAAAATAAAAAATATTTTTTTTTGTAAAAAATGTCTCCCGCTTCTGTCCACCCTGCGGTATTAACGGGTTTTCCACATTGCAGTCGCACGGCAGCTCTCACGTGCCGTGGTACTCCCATCGTCTAGCCAGGAGCGCAGGTCCTTCTGCCAGCGGCGGCGTGAACACGCAATTGCAGGGCTGCCTTCTACGACTGACGATGACGCGCGTCGTCTCTGTATATAATTACAACGCCCTACGTTTTCCGGACGTGGTCCGACTCGGATGGGGCACAAGTAACGCGTGGTACATGTTGCACCGACGCGCAGCTGGCAGATAACACGCTCAACAGCCCCCGTTTTTTTTCGTATCGGTCAAAATTAGGATCAGTTTAACACGTAGGAGGCTTTCGCGACCAACATCATCCATAATAGAGATTTTTTTGGGTTAGATCGCGTAAATATATAAATGTGTCGTTAAACCCGCCACCACCCGACAAGATCAATGGGCTCGTATAATGCGCATGCATAATGTACGCGCAAGAGCGCACACAAGCGTGGTCACCACATCTATGCCTCTATATGAGAAACAAAACGGGTGGACTTCTCCACAGATCCGGCTGTCGCCTGATGAAGCCAGTTGCATTTACTGGCGAAACGTCGTACTCCGATTGTAAATGATGTGGCTTGGCTCTCCAACACACCGGTGTGGCTGTACTAGTGACGAATTGGCCACGTTCTGTTTACGTGACAAACCCTTACTAGTTGGCTGTGTCGGGTGGTGGCGGGTTTTAACGACACTTTCATATATTTACGCGATCTAACCCACAAAAAACCTCTATTATGGAAAGTTAGGATCGTTCCTCGGGCGCTGTGTGGAGTTTGTTCAATGCCGCACGGCGGGTGTCACCGTGACGTGACGGGAGTGCCGGAAGTCAAAGCCGCCACTGCTCCAGCGGTTTCATGCTGCCAGCCGCATTTCCCTGAGACACGCCGCGATGATGATGGCAGCGTGTGGCATTTCTGTTTTGTACGCGGCTATATTTGGTAAATGAAGACTGGAGGGACGTTTAGAGAGCTATAATAACATCGGCAGTGGGCAGCCTAAATTCGGATTATGTAAACATAAATATAGATATTGGTGTCTCACGAAGTGCGTTTACTTTCATAATGTGATTTTCCATTTCCCGATATAGAATTTTTTGCTCATTCTCTTTTCTGGATATGAAACCGATTGCCTCAGTGACTCAGTTGCATGCACACAATGGCTTATAAAATTACGAGATAGAAAGCCGCTTTACAAATAGAAAATGTTACGCTGCTTACATTGATGTATAATGTACAGCACTTTGTGAATGCGCTGCTGGATGAAGACCAACCAATGCCTTTTGGTCATGGTTTTTTTTTCTTCAAAATACTTGACCGAGCTGATCGGTGCAGGTTGGAAAAGGCGGGCACCCAGGTCCTGTTAAAAAAAAAACTATAAAACTACACTACTTTTTTTTATTTTCCCAGGTAAGGTCCACCGAGCTACATAGCTGTTTTTCGGAAGCGACCTCGCCACTAATCTTAGCTCAACAAAGTGGCTTGTAAAAGTGGAAATGTATAGCAGCCAAATACTCTAAAAGCATATTTCTAAATGTGGAGGGAAAAACCGCAGGACACAAAGAAAAATCCACGTGACCACGGGCAGAACATGCAAAATCCAAACATACAGGCATCGCCAGGGTCGGAACCGAACCGACAACTTCCCGCGTACCAGGCGAGGGAGTTAACATCTCACCGCCGCGGCACCAACTGATGTTCGCCACGACTGGGAATCGAACTCGAGGCATCGCTGCAGCACTGCCTACTCGTGAAAATAAAAACAATGACCAACACAGCCATTTGTTTCCCACCAACGAAAACCATTCACACGTTACCTGACACGCAAAAGCACCACAACAATTACACATATATATAATTTCTTGAAAGTCGATTACCTTGGGAATTTCTCTTCTTATCATTCTCCCTGGAAGAAGAAAAAAAACACACAGCACAAGCAATATTAGCTGCGGTCCATTCACATCGTCTTGTGACTGTAACTACGCTTGTAAGCCAGGATAGCCTCAACCGAATGTCTCAAGACTGGCTTGCAGGAGGGTTCCTGCCAAGATTTTCACAGAAGGTGCTGTGCAATCCCAAATGATGAATTCAGCATTGGGATGTTTAGCCAATATCAGTTACTTTAACACGTAGGAAGCTTACGAGACCAAAACCATCCATGATAAAGTTTTTTTTGGGGTTAAATCGCGTAAATAGATAAATTTGTCGTTAAACTCGCCACCACCCGGCTATTTTAGTACACACACTCGACAGGAAGTACAAGAACAATGGGTGTGCAGAATACACATGCGTAATCTATGTTGATTACCATATAAATAAATCAAACGGCAATGGATACCCATAGTCATTGATATGCATTAAGCCCCAACCCCCATTTCGTGCAAGAAGAGCACGCGTGATGCCATCACATCTACCCCTCGATTTAAGGAACCAAACAGGAGGATTTCTCCACAAATCGCTTGTGTTGCGATCGAAACGTCGTGGGTTTTTTGGGTTTTATTTTTAATTTAAATGTTTTTAAATCTTTATTTTCTATCTACGTGACTTTTCCAAAAGAACCAAGAATATGGGCACATGTATATACTTCCACGATCTAACCCAAAAGACACTTGTATTATGAATATAAGTTACATTTTATGGGTTTTTTTTCAGCTCTTGGAGGAAACCATTGAAAACCCACGCCTAACCGGGGGGGGGGGGGGGGGGGGGGGTGGGGGGGGACATACAAACGCCGCATAGAAAAGCGTCCGAGTCGGGAATCGAACCCAGGACCTTTCTTGCTGTGTTAGCACCGTGCCCACCCTGCCTCCGGGAAGCCAAAGGCACAAAGTGCCCCCTACTGGCCATCCAAATAACGCGACGCGAGATCACATTGTCAAGGGATTGAAATCGGCAGTGACCAGTGATATAGGAAATGTGCGACCGAGTTTTTTTGTGTTAAGGTTATTCAACCAACGGATGAAATGCGAGTATTTTCAGGCAACGCAACCCACGCATTATTCTGTGTGCCATCATAAATGGAGTACAGGCACACTCGTAAGGCCACGGTAAACTGAAACATTTAAATTTGTAATGACCAAAGCGTTTCAATTTAAACACTTCGTTCATTTAAATGACACCGACTTAAACGACCGAAGAACACAACCATACGAGTAATGTACTCGGATTATGAAGAAGCAAGTATTTGTTGTGTGCCAAGGCAAATGTGTGTAGTTTATTCCTGCCGTGGATAGAACACCAAATTAATTTGAAGTGTTTGTCTAAAGAGCAATTTATATATCAATATATGCCGAAGTGATTAATGACTGTATACTTCGCACTATAACGCATGGAATAAAATCCTGAACACCGATATCGAGAATTAAACGCACGCTAAATAAATGTGCCAAAAAGAACAAGCGTGGAGAGATGCGTGCTCTGAATTGCACTGAGAGCAACACGGGGGTTAGGAGAACAATTGCAAATCAATGGCAGTTAGCCAGCTTGGGCAGGACACATTCGTTAGAGAGGGATGACGGATGAGACTAGTGAAGGAATGGCAGGCAAAGGGGGGCAACACAACACCCCCTCAAAAAAGATGACCGTAGCAGAGATGGAGCGGCGTGGTCGGCTCACGAGCAGACGTCAGATGGATTGCCGCATCACAGGGACACGAGTGCAAGTTTCAAGTGCGTTTGGTTTATCCGGAGGTGAGAACTCCAGGGACCAGGACAGTCTAATCTGCAAGATTTTGAGTACTGTAATTTGGCGAGGGATTTTCGATTTTGGACCCCGACGCAGGGCACACTCTTGCCAGGGCATCTTTAAAGTTCACTGTGAAGCAAATGGCGTGCAGTAGAATTGTAATGGTCACGGCACACCGCAGTAATAACCAGGGTGGCAGCGAACCTCTTCAACGTACTACCGCTGGGCCACGTCACCACCCTGTGAGGGATGGTGTCGGATTGTGGAGGCCTTCATCGTAGTTGACCATGATGAATAATTTAATATAGAATAAGAGTATTGTGTGCACGTATATGATTTCAAAATATGATACATCGCAACGATTCCACGTCACGATTCGGTCCATGAAACTTTTTTTTTTACTGGGAGAGCAATGTATGTTGTATTCCCAGCCATGATGCTCATAATCAGCCATAGCTATTCATTCCACTGCTGGATGAAGACTTCAAAATCCGTCACCATCTCCCATGATCGTACGACGTGACAATCCTCCCGGCAAACTGCACACAAGCGGATTACATTGCTCCATCTCTCTTGGACACGGTCCCAACCTTGGCTGCCGCTCGATCACTGTTCGTGAACACCGGCCACCATCCCACACCGCGACACATCCTGCCCCAAGCCCGGCCATGGAGGCATAAAAATCCGGTGGCAAGATTCGAGGGGCACGTATGGCTTGCACGAGAGCACTTCGCTGGGCTAAATCGATGTCCCGCGTGTGGAGAGCCACTGCCAAAGCATACAACTTGGTGAAATTATTAAATGCCACCGTTGTCTGCCCGTTACATCGGCTCAATTAGCGACAAAGGGGGGCAAATCAAATCTCAGCTATGGTTCTCTTCCTTTTTAGCCGGTATCACCGATTCATCGAAATCGAATTCTTCTCGATGATTTAGCGCTGCATCTATCCAGCTGTTTTTTTCTCTCTTTCCCCTATTCCTCGTTTCTTTCTCTTTCGTTTGCCACTGTATCCTGAGCCTCTGTCTTTCCCTTACTCCGTTTGGTGTGCATTGCCAAGTGGGGGGGGGGGATCCTTTCCCCGCGGCTTAATTCAATGCGCCGTGTCTTTAATGTTAGCTCGCAGCCACCAAGTGGCGCTGCAGCCTACGCGTTGGCATGGCGCTGTGTAATGTATGTCGGCTTTTCGGGGCCGATTGACAGGAAACAATACGTGAACCTAATGGGGAAGGTTACAGCATAGCGGCGTGCTTGATAGAAAATGGTTAATAAATCTCCGGTTGCTTTATTAGATTATGTTGGAGGCGTACAATATACGAAAGTGGCTTTTTTTTTAAACGCAACGCTAATTAATTGACGAAATCCTCCTTCACAATTATCTAAATGTTTTTAGTTTTAATCGACAACAGCAAAGTACATCTACACACGTGCATGTACACACAGGTACATTGTGCATAACGGATATATATTGAGAGCAAACCAGTTGGACGCGTTATGCCATTTCAACTGTAAGCATACCCCATAAAACTCCATAAGTGAATTGTATTGACGTATCGCAACTAATTCCGGAAAACAGCAACGTCGAATGTCAAAAAAACCATTACAATTCCACCCCCCTCCAACCACCCACCCCTTCCCCCTTTTCTATTAAATCCATCACAAAGCCAAACACAAATCCATTTCACGGAAGGACGATGGAGACGTCAAACATTCGGAAGGTTTTAATGGGTTTTGTGCCACTGGCCTGTGCCGTCTGAAGCCACCAGCGCCAGTTCCTCCGGAAAGAGGGACAGAGAGAGAGAGAGAAAAAAACCCCGCTCTAAAATTGCACAGCCAGAGGCGGGGATCGGGCATTCGTCTGCCTCGTGTATTGTGCCAATAAATCCAGGTTGAGATTTGAACGACGGTTTAAACGCAGAGGAAACAAGCCATGCACAAGGGTGGGCAGCACCTGGGCCGTCGCTCTTACACATCTGGCCTAACACTAAAAAGGGGGGCTTTGCTTAAACAGTGCATTTAAAAATAAATGGCTGCTTTGCTTGAGGCCTCGTTGTAAGAAGACTTCTAAACACACTCTCCCGATGGAGGGATTCCAAACAGTTCCGAGCGCCCGTCTCAAGAAGCCATCTCCTTTGCGATAAACTCCAATCCCAATAGCAGAGTCGTGTTTACCAGCGATGTCTATGCCCAAGTCACCCTGAACACCACCCCATCTCTTTGGATCTAAGCAGAGAAGCTAAGCAGCTAACTGAGGCCTGGATAGTGCCTGGATGGTGCTTAAACAAAAATGACCTCCACCCACAAGCTGGTTGTTATATGGGGCCGTGGGTCTAAGTGGTGGACATTCGTTGTTGTACTATACTTCATCTCTACGGCGACGGCTTGTCATTAGGGTGCGGTGGGGTCAGGCGCCACGAGTGAAACACTGAAAAAGGTACAGGACACTGTAAACAATACTTACCTGCTTCTTATAAAGATTACAAACTGCATCCTCCTCCATCGTCCTCCTTCCTCTCCCTCCCCACCTTCCCGTGCAGTCTGTGGTGCCCCACCAATACACTGAATTTACCCAACGGCCACCACTGGACATCTAAAGCTGCATCCCTTCCTTTACGCACTGACCCGCAGTGACCAGCGTGGTGAAGTATGGACAAACAACCCCTGCAACACCAGCACGGCATGGGGAGACCCTCATCCATCAGTGGATTGACTGAAAAAAATATCGGTGCGTGGTCCACATGCGAGCCGTTGACGCCAGGGTCCGCTAGAAAAGAAAAAACGAATTACCCCGTTTAAGCCCAGCTGTTTAGGAGAACCCCTATAGAAAAATAATAAACAAGACAGTGGTCAGTTTAAAACGTCAAGGCTCCCTTGCCTCAACACTATGGAGTGCAGAGAAGAAGACATCACTGCAGGGACACACGGGGAAACTGCACCCTAAGCGTTTCTACAATATGAACAAAATCTCAACACGTCCGTCAACAACAACACCGCCCATGAAGAGGGACACACACATAACGGTCGATGTCTCAAGCAACTGGCCGTCGTAGAAGAGAGATAGGGATGCCAGTGAGAGATTGACCACGTGACAGTTGGAGACTGCGTCACACACCATGGGTGCCAATGCAGGAAACACACTTCATTTGTTACCTTTCTAGAAAACATCAAGCAAAACGCGTGCGGTGTAAACGTTGCCCCCTTGAGTGCCGGACACGTCCAATGTCTTGATAAACAGGTGGGAAAGCAACCGTGCACCCCCTCTCCCGGCGAACGGAAATCCACAGCCTCGGCCCGGAGCGGAGTAAAACGAACATTTCCGTCGTAACAGGATCGCACTGTTTAGCAAAGTCAGTCTCCGGGGACGGTGATGGCCAATTGAAGGTTATTGTCCCAGCTTTCCTCCGCAGTAAAAAAAACATATCCGCCAAACACCAAAACATGGCGCAAAACCCTCCCCATATCGAAAATAGCCGGTACACGAAGACAAAGATCCCACCCCCTCCTCCCCCATATAGGCCCTCTGCGTGCTGTTAGCGGGCACCTATTAAGGCTGCCACGGCACGCGCAGGGGTGGGTGGCCAGCACCACACACCCGCACCAGGTACTCATGTAAGGCTGAGTCGACCTAGGGGAGGCCCAGAAGCCGGTCAGATATCCGTCACCGACGTTTTGGCTGCGCGTGGGAATCGAACCCGGGTCGGTGGGTTCGTAGCGCAGCGCGCTAACCACCGCCCCACTGCTCCGCATAGCCGGCGCTCACACACGCGAGGGATGTCGCAGACATTTTAAGTGTTTCCATATCTCGTGGATGCTGCGGCGGCGTAAAGGTTCGCACACTGGGCTGGGCTTCAATTGGATATCCCGGCTCAGCGGTTGAAAGAATGCCGCGAGGTTCTCAGATCTCCCTGCCTCTGTCCACCCGGCAGCGTAAATGGGCACAGGGCAGTACGTCGATCGACAGGTTGTGCGTGGTGTGGAAGAGCAGGCCAAAAAGTACCCTCGAGTGTCCTCTAGAGCTACCCCTACTGGAGGCCCCCCTCTGCCAGCAGTGGCGTGAGCAAGCAACTGCAGGGCTGCACATTTTTTTTTCTCTTTCCATTACAGCTCTCTTTGGGCAATCGCGATGGAAACGAGCAAGTGCACGACTGGAGGAATATCATGATGGATTGGAATGAATATTTTACTTGGAACAAACACAAACGCAATTTACGATATACGACCGACGCTTTCAAGTGTCATAAAGTTGCCACGAAGTTTTTTTGATTCACCCGCAAAAAAAAAAAAGACAAATTTCGCACACACTCTCTCGCTCTCTCTCTCTCTCTCTTTTGCTTTGCCAAACCAACCGTTACCAACAACTCGCCCGGTAACTGCGGGCGCGCGCGGTGGAGAGCTGGCGGCTGCGGTCGGTCATTTTAAACCCGAGCTGACGGCTTTGGGAATTAGGATTGGCGCGGATGCGCGGGCAAAGACAAAGATCGCCCGTATAGCCTGAACAGAATATTGGGGCAAGTGCTGTTTAGCGTGCACCTAAGAAGGCCGGCACGGCACACGAGGGAGTAGGTGGCCAATATCACGCCAAAACGCCTTTGTCTCCCCAGTGGCGATGTTTACAAGCCACACCAGGTACTCATTTGAGGCTGAGTCGACCTAGGGGAGGCCCATGACCGGTTCAGATAATCGTCACCGGTGTTGGTCGCGAGCGGAAATTAAACTTGGGTCGCCGGGTTCGTAGCGCAGCGTAGCGCTAACCGCAACACTACCACTCCCCACAGGACGCAAGGGCACGCACGCACACGCTCATTTGTACCCTCGCTGTGGATTGAGGTCTTCGGGCTTGGTCTCGAAGAAGTTGAGCACGTCGGGGCACTGCGAGATGTGGGCAGGCAATCGCACCAGAGCCTGTGGGGACAAACAGACGTAGACTTGTATCCTAAAACTAAAATAAACTCTTCTATTTTCCCAGGTAACGTCCACTGAGCTGCATAGCTGTTTGTTGGAAGCGAGCTCGGCACAAATCTTAGCTCAACGAAGTGGCTTGTCAAGTGGAAATGTACAGCAGCCAAATACTCTAAACGCGTGTTTCTAAATGCGGAGGGAAACCCAGAGGACCCGGAAAGAAATACACCACGGAGAGAGACATGCAAAGTCCAAATATACAGGTGTTAGGGTCGGGATCCTACCCACGACCTCCTGTATACCAGGCGAGGTAGCTAACATCTCGCCACCCTGGCACCCCATCCTGTTGATGCACCAGTAGCATCAAAGACAAAGATCCCACGTATAACCTTAACAAATTATTTGGGGCAAGTGCTGTTAGCAAGCACCTATGAAGGCCGGCATGGCACACGAGGGGGTGGGTGGCCAGCACCACGCTCGGCCGCCTTTGTCTCCCCAATGGGAGACAAAGGCGGCCAGGGGAGGTTCAAATAATCGTCGCTGGTGTTGGCCGTGAGCGAGAATAGAACTCAGGTGGCCGGGTTGTAATGCAGCGTGCTATACACTGCACTACCAGCAGCATCATCATCACCATGGTTAATCCACCGCTGCATGAAGGCCTCCTCAATCTGCTACCTCCTCTCATGATCCTGTGATGTCATAATCCACCAAGAACCTACTCCGTCTTCTTGGTGGACGTCCTCTACTTTGAGGTGGAGAGGCTCCACTGCCTTGTAGACCTGAGTAGCTCGACCGGATAGGGGCACCCATATCAGGCGGGTACTCTGCGAGGCTAACTGTGCTCCCTTCAACTCTTACAGAACTAGCGTGGTGAAGCATGGTCAACGCCCATACTCACTGCGCACGAAAAGGCCCCGGAGTTCTCGATCTAACGATGGTCAACTGTCAAGAGGAAAACAAACAGTACTTCCAGAGAGTCCTTGTTGCTCTGGTATGTGTGTCTCCAAGTTGTGGACAATCCCAACATCAAACGGGTAAAGTCCCCACGACCTCAATCACCATGAGCGTCATAGAAGTGCTCCCTCGTTGCGGGCAGAGATGATGCATTAACGATGTCAGCCTGCATGCAGCCTTAGCCGGAAAGTGTTAAATATCGGTCTGACGTGAATTATTCATCGCAATGGACAAGGTAAAGTGGGCCCAACACAACGGACAACGTTTTGAAGTATGAAGACAATGTTTGTTCCTGGATAGTAAGTGCTATTTTTTAATTGCTTATGCCTAAAAAGTAGAGAAAATGGCTATTATCCCCCACAAACTTTCCTTTTGTGACCAAGACTTTACGTCAATGAATGACACGAATGCACATGTTTTCTCATTTAAAATAGGTAAATTGCAAAATATCACTGTCCTGGTCACAAAAGCAAAGTTTGTGGGGAATAATAATAGCTATTTTCTGTACTTTTGAGGCATAAGCAATTAGGAAATAACACTTACTACCCAGGAACATTTTTTTGTGTTACACAGTGTTATCAGTGCAAGCTCTTACACAAGGCTGACACTCGACTACGCAGCACAATAACAAACCCCCACCTCGATCCCATCCTAAGGCAACATTCCAGCACAATTTCTCATCATCTCCGGTCACATCCAACAGATAAGATAAATGCACAGGTTGCATGCTGTGCTGTTTGGGAGAATGACGAAGCTGCACTGGAACAATGGAGTGAGACGTGAAAGCAGGAGACAAACTGAGAACCATAAATACACGGGCGGGCGATATTGCAGCGACATTAGGAAGCTTCCTCCCAAACCTACAGCCGGTCCGGTTGGCTCGGCTGGTGAGTGAGGGGCTCGCAAGTGGGCAACTGACGAGTTCAACTCCTTCTCGGGGGTTAAGCTGGACCATCATGCCTCCGAGGTTGATTAAAAAAAGAGTACTTCTTTGTGGGGAAGTCAGCAGCGGTTCTTCTTTGGATAGACTTGCCCCCACCACAGGAATGTGGATTGTCCACCACTGGCTCAGGGCTGCATACAAGCGATGAGCAATACCTCAATGCTCTTTTGAGCAGAAAATCACGCAAAAAATAAAGTGTACCTGCAACCTTCAAATGTCTAAATGCATTTGCCTCGCAAGGTCGAATCGAGATGATGTAACCAAATATAGAAATCAACCACACTCACGAGGCGTCAGGGCTCGCAGGGTTTACAGAGAGGAGACAACTGCTGTGAAAGGATGTGTTCATGCCAACAAATCGGCTGCTTGTAGCTCTGGGCTCAAGAACAAAAAGCAACTTCCAATCTACACGAAGCGTGTTTATTTTTCGCCAACGTGACAATAACACTGACGCACAGCTGGGTAGCTCGCAGCTGGAACAAAACGTTATTAAGTCTATCATTAACAAAGGCATGAAACTCATTTTCATGATCACACATACACAAATATATAATAAGCAGTACAAATATCTCATCTGAAAAATTGGATATTAATTGTACACACCGACTCGCACGGATTTCTTCGAAATTTTAGTTAAATATATTAAACCCATTGCGTCGATTCTATTGTTTCATCATGCTAGGAAGCAGTGGTACAAGTAAATTTAGCGTCGCACCACGAACCCGGTAACCTGAGTTTGCTTTCCTGCACCGGTTAATATCTGAACCAGTCTTGATGTCACGTCGCCCACAATTCACCGATCCACGCTGATAAGCGTGGTGAAGTGTGGTCAAGTATGACATGCAGATTATGGGAGAGGCCTTCTTCATACAGCAGTGAATTGGCAAACAACTCCGAAGTATTCTGTAAATTATTATATATTAGCAGTAGAGAACGCGATCTAAATAAACACAGCCTTAGATTTGTGTGAGAATGTCCTTAGATCCCTTCGTGAATATATGCACATGGTAGGATGGACGCTATACTGCAGAGAAAATATTATACACACTGTGTGGATATATTCTCAACCCAGCTTTCCTGAGATCAATTTCCAATGCTGCCAATGGCCCCGAGGGACCCGCAAACCACCCACCAGAAATTTACCATCAACACAGCCTCGTGAAGGATTGACATTTGTAACCTACGCTGCGGAACAGTTGAGAGCATGCAATTAAAATTGGTCCTGACGTGCAGGCAAAATTGTGACGTCGACTAGAAAGCAACCGTGTAGCATCACCTTGGTTAAGGGGAGGGAGCTTATTTAAACTTACGAGGTGGGGGGCATGACAGAGTCAAGATACATTTTAAACAAATGTTAATGTTAAACAACCTGATCCGCATTCATCTTCCTTGCATTCTGCTCTAGCTCTCACCCCCAGTGTAAAAATATTGTTCCGTAATTTTGTTACTTTGCTCTAAGAATGTATAAGCCCCCAGCGGGGCTGGAAAAAAAACACTCCTAGTCGCCAGCTACCCCACCGAGAGACAATCACTTTGGGGCTCGAATGATAATAATAATGTTAATGTTGCTATGGTTGTCACCGTGCAAACGCGTAAATATTTAATTATACTATGGCCGCCACGTAGCTGAAATGTAATTCCACCAGCTGTGTCACAAAAGGTTAAACCAGAAATGCCTCCACTTTCCACCGACTGACCTTTGGTAAAAGGCAGCCCAGCCGAGTTGGGTTGAGTTTTAAGATTTCTGGATATTTTTCAGCATTTCTTCCATCATGCAACTTTGCAATTCCACACTTTTCCCGTGCATGAGGCTTTTTTTCAAGTTATTAATGTTTTCCCCCGGCTATTAAAAAACGCTGAGAGCAATTAGCAAAACATGAAAGGCACAACGTAAAAAGCCAAATGCAAACCAAATATCACCCTACGGGCAGACTCGAAGAATTCTGCACACTATAAACAAGCGGCACATAAACACACACAAAAAACAAAAGTGCTGAACAATTTATATTTAATGATCATAAGGGCATAAATCCCATGCAGGTAGAGGGGCAGCCCCGCAATTTCGTGCTCATGCTGCTGTTGACGGTAGGGACTCCACTTGCAGGAGCTACAGGGAGGCCCTCTAGATATTATTTTGGCCTATCCTTGGAAGAGGTGGGAATACTCACACTTTACCCCACCCAACACCACATGCCCCACATTAGCCAGTGTTTGTTTTTTTTTGTTCTGATTTTTATTTGCTCTGCTTTTAGAACATTTTTGGTGACCCAGGGTCAGGCACTCTTGCCAATGCGACTCCTCTATCCTGTTCTCTTGAGTTCTCACCCTGGCTAAACACATACACTTGAATCTAAACACATCACCTTCCCGATCCACTACGGTGGAACCCGTTTAAACTACTGGATAGACGGAAGTCGGGCGGGTGGAGGAGGGGTTAAGAAACTTGCACCGTTGTTTCAATTGCCGTGCCCGGGAGATCGAACTGGCAACCTCCGGATTGCAAGTCCAGTGCGCTGGACACCAGGGCAGCCATGCAACGCGGGTATAATGGGTTTGGATGTTTATTTGACACCAACAAAACCATTTTCATAGGTCTGTTAATAACACAGCTAATAAAGTTAGCAACATGCCACCAAATGGCACTACTATTAAACACAAAGAAAAACTATTATTAGGTTTTTTTTTCCCGTCTGAATTTTCCAGTGGTAAGCATGGGTTGATAAAACTTATCTGAATTATACAAAGATGGCATTGCCATAGGGTTGGATGGGCATTGTTAATAACAAGTGAACTGAAGTATACTAAATCACTCTACAGGCCGTAATCTTCAATTCCTGCCACGCTGAAATTTGAATAGTATAATTATAATGCTCAAACCGTTTATTTGAACGTACTGCTCTATTACAGGCAAGCTTCTCGGATTTACCCATTAGCATTGCGACAAAGGGAGCTGACAGTCTCCATTAGAACCAAACAAAATGTGTAAAATTCCAGTTCACAACCCTCAGCATTATTACCTAAGCTAGAATGTGACTGTGATCTGCCTACATTTTTGTCAACGAGTTGCTAGCACCATATGAACTCTGATCACCTTCAGTAATTGCATTTTTCCATAGACGGTTGTATCTAGGCGTTGTAATTGCTAATTTTCGCACATCATTTTCGCATCATTATCGTCAGCAGCAGCCACGATCTAGCCACCGCTGGATGATGGCTTCCACAAGCCTCGATGCAATAATCCCTCTAGCTTCTGCACGCAAGCTGATTGCACGAACTCCATCTCCACAGCGAATGTCACTTTTGCAGGGAGGCCTATTTCGATGACGTAAGATACCTTCACTTAACTAATCGGTGCTAAAGCCATCCGGGGTGTCACGATCCACCAGTCCCATGCAGGTGATTCAGGGTTGAACATAGATTTAAGAATCTGTTATTCTTTGTTTTTATACATGTACATTTTAAAAAATATTCTGGTTAATTTTGTGTCCTCTAGCACAAGACCTATTTTTGTTACCACCTCGACAATGCCACCACAGTTGATCACAACACAACCACCACCACCACCACAACCCACCCCAATAATCCACCACCACCACAAAAAAAACCACTGCAACTGCAACCCACCACTTAAAGTAGTCGATTACAGTACTTAAACAATCGGACAGCCCAGGTCTAGACTCATTGCATTCCTAGTAATCATATATACTGTAAGTTATGGCTGACTAACTGTCAGAAATTTGTTTTAAAACACTAAGGCCACTTATGTGTGAGGAATATATACATACAATGGAAAAGTAGATGTGCGAGTGTGTGGAAACGTGTATGTGTGTGGATGTGTGTGGATGTGTGTGGATGTGTATGGATGTGGGGAGCGGTAGTGTAGCGGTTAGCGCGCTGCGCTATGAACCCCGCGACCTGGGTTCGATTCCCGCTCATGGCCAACACGAGTGACGATTATCTGAACCGGTCATGGGTTTCCCCTAGATCGACTCAGCCTCAAATGAGATCTGGTGCGGTCTGTAAACATCGCCACTGGGAAGACAAAGGCGGTCTAGGCGTAGTGCTGGCCACCCACCCCCTCGTGTACCGTTCCAGCCTTCATAGGTGCTCGCTAACAGCACTTGCCCCTACAGTCTGTTAAGGCTACACGGGGGATCTTTGTCTTTTGTCTTTGTGTGTGGATGTGAGGAGTGGTAGTGTACCGGTTAAGTGCGCTATGCTACGAACCCGGGGACTCGGGTTAGATTCCCGCTCACGGCCACTACCAGTGATAGTGATTATCTGAACTGGTCCTGGGCCTCCCCTAAGTCGACTCAGCTTCAAATGAGTAGCTGGTGCGATGTGTAAACATCGCTGCTGGGGAGACAAAGACGGCCGGGCGTGGTGCTGGTCACCCATCCCCTTTTGTGCCATGCTGGCCTTCATAGGTGCTCGCTAATAGCACTTGCCCCAACAGTCTGTTAAGGCTATACGGGGGATCTTTGTCTTTGTTGTACATGTGTGTGGATGCACTGCAGAAGCTGCATTCATGCATTTAAAATGTCGTCACTTACCCTGCAATACTCGTTGATGGGTTTCAGCCTCTTCACTGCCACATCGCGGATGTGGCTCCTCCGAAACAGGATTTTCCCTGCGAAGGACAGCACAGCAGTGAGATACTCTCCGTTTTCCCGCTCCGCCTTAAACAATTCTAGACATCAAGGGCCGCGTTCAACATTGGTCGGAATCCTACTGAGATTCAACGGCCTCTCCCAGTCATCCCCCCCCCCCCCCACCAATGCTGCCCCAGGAAATAACTCTACCCCAGTGACACATGCCTATATGTTGTATGCGACTTTAAATGGAAGAGTGCATAAGCAGTGCCTCAGTTGGTAGGCCGAATGAGCTAAATAAATAAACCAAGGGGTATTGCATTTTTTGTAATTGAGACCTCATTACATAAAATACAGATCAGAAACCTTTAAATGAATTGCCATGCATTGAAATTGGAGAAGCAGTCTCAGATTAATTTTAGAACAAACATATGTACATGAATGATTTGGTGATGCTGCATTGGGCAGTGGTGCACAAATACAATGAGAAAAACAGCTCAACACATTTGTCAAGAACTTTGTGGCCTTGAAAGAAAGAAATAAAAACATGATAATAATAAATTTCGATTTAAAGCTTTCGTGACTGCAGGGATTCATATTCTTGGTTCTTTCGGTAAAGTCACGTAGAAGGGAAATAATAAAATAATATAAATAAAACAATAAAAGTTATAATTATTGTTTTATTTGTATTTTTTTATTATTTCCCTTCTACGTGACTTTACCGAAAAAAACAAGAATATGATAATAATAGGCAGTATTTCAGGCAATGTCCCTTCTCTATAGCTTCTTCATAGGATGTGCTATGAAAAAGGGTAATTGTAAAAAAAACACCGCCTATTTTATTTTATTTATTTCATTTCAGGCCACAGTGTTGTCGGCATGTGTTTTTTTATATATGAACACAAATTGATGAATTATTATGCAGATCTGGAGATAGATATTGCCATAGGTCTGGTAACAACAACAAAAAAAACACCATTAATTCCATCTTAAAAGGATTACACGTAAAAAACAATCGACTGTTTGGGTAGAAGTAGCTGTTAGATGGATTTTCGCACTTTCTATTGGCTGTAGCATCACACTCCATGGGAGGTAAATTACCTTTTCCACTGATGATGGACATTGCGTAGCTTTATAATATTAGAATGAGACTTTAAAGTAGATCAGACATTTAGGCTTACTCTGCCCTACGAGTAAAAGCAATCACCCTCTAGGTTGTAATCGTTTGGGGCCCGAATTGTAATTTTCTCATACATAGATACAATTATATTCCTCGACTTGATGAGATAAGCAGAGACTCGGCTACGTAAGCATATACTTAGACATATTTGTGCCACGATTCAGCTTTCCAGCTCCTTTAGAACATCATTATAATTAACATCAGTCACTCCGTTGCGAGCACCCCCATGTATTAGACACGTGCGTGCTGTAATCCTTTTGCAGGGTAACCCTTGCCCTAACCCCGACCATACGACACATTGTCAAGGCGATGGTTTAGGGCGAGCTCTGGGCTTGTTAACGACAAACACAATTCCTTGGGGGGGTCACTCCTGTTTAGAGCGTCACATTTTTTTGCATGGCAGCCTCTCTTGGAGTGACACCCGAGAGACTTCGCATTCAAACGACTGGAAGAAGTTGCGCGCTGTGTTTGAAGTCGACCCCTCTGGGACTTGAAAGGTAGAGAGGCTCGCAAGTTATGATTGTAATAAAGCAACATTTCAATGTTTATACATATGTACGGCACCGTATGTAGCCGACCGTGCTGATCAGAGGCGCAGCACCAGCATAGATTCCATTGCATGCATTTGATTTTTGCAGTCGTTTCTACACGAACGTTGAAGGCTCGGTGCAGCCGACTGTTCCGTCTCAGCTACACCATGCGCGCACCTCCGATTAGCAGGGTTGGCAACGTGCGGTGCGAAAGAAATTCAACGTGCGTGCATACGACCACCACCACTCTGCGGGTCACAATGCTTCTCCGGCTGCCACTTCCCCACACACGGCTCGATTTTGGAATTTCCCTCCCATGATCTATAATGCTCAGTTCTTCACAACTCCGCTGAACAAATCAATGGACATGGCACGGCAAAAGTCTTATCTTTTTACACCTTCATCTCGTGCCAACGTGGGTCCCGTGCTCAGCAACCGTGATTTCTGTTTTGAATGCCGTGCGATTTGAAGCGATCCGCTCCTTTGAAAGCAAACTCCCGGCACGGCTTTTGCATTCTAACAATCGACCGTTGGTGGTGCGAAACAGCGACAACTCTGACCTGAGGGACAGAGACGCCAAAGTTAAAGTACGGGCAGTTTTACCGCTCGCAAAAAAACAAAGACAGGATGCCCCGTATAGCCTCAACAGACTTTTGGGGGCAAGCGCTGTTAGCGAGCACCTATGAAGGCCAGAGCGGCACACGATGGGGTGGGCGTGCAGCACCACGCCTAGCCGCCTTTGTCTCCCTAGCGGCGATGTTTATACGCACCAGGTACCCATTTGAGGCCGAGTCGACATAGGGGAGGCCCCAGGACCTGTTCAGATAATCGTCACTGATGCGGGAATCGAACTCTGGTCGCCGGATTCGTAGCGCAGCGTAGCGCTAAGCGGAGCACCGCCGCTCCCCACCACGCGTGCACACACACACACACACACGCGAGGGGGCTCCCCGGAGGTGATGCAGAAGGGTTGCCTCTCAGGCTTTTCTGGAGGAAGCCAGCCCATCTGCTATCCTCTGACCAATCTCACAAATGGTTAGGCGTAAATCGGTTTTTACCAGAGCGCTCCCCACCCCCCTTCCTCTATTGAGCAAGGTGCCCTGGGAATGGGATGGCTTGTGGCCCACAATGGGGAGGTCAGTATCAGGGCAGCGGCCCACAGCAGTCATTGCCTCTGTCTGCGGAAAGACAGACGCTGGTAGCTGCGTGGCCCGATGTGCCACTTTAGTTTAAATAGGAAAAAAAATGTTAACGCTTCTGAGCATTTGCAACAAGACCACGAGAAATGTGCCTCCTGGCTCTGGAGACCACCTGGAGAAGATTCGAGGCACGTGTTGACAACGATGGCGAACAAGCGGAGACTCTTTTGACTTTTTGAAGCTATTAACATCCACTTGTTATCATGTTACAGTTTGTTATCCGTTGATTTGCCATAAAAAACAATTGTCCCATACAAGTGTTAACGTATTTTTGAAGCACCCTGTATATTGCTGTATTATGTCCACAAAGCTGACAGCGATGTGCAACCATGTTTGGATTTTTTTCGTACCTTACGATTATTTTTTAAACACTGACAAAGAAAATGTTTAGATCTGGGGAATACATATTGATTATGTAACAAAATTCATGTGTGTATCTAAGCCTATATTAATTCTATCCCTTCCATCAACTTCCATAATGGATGGAACCGAATGAATTCCCTCCACTTGTGTCCGTTATATAAGCCTGTTGTGAAATTTTAATTTGGAAATGCACACTTAAATTATAATCATTTTATGAATATTACGAGAGAAAATTGAAACTTGACTTGATGCAGACTCGCCATGAACCACAGCTTCTTTTGAAAGTTTTGACGGTTGCTGTAGGCATTCGTAAACTACTTCAGCTCTCACCAGCTCAAATAGCGCTTGCCTAATGTAAATTACGCTTTAGCCCCCCCTACCCCCCCCCATTATTGCAGCTATTTTATTCAAGTAATTGTACACGCCACTGACGGAAATTCAGAAAATTATTCCAAGAAAATGAATCGGAATACGGGCTTTCTCTGTGTGAAGAATGAACACACAGCCTATTTCATATTTACATTCCAACATTTCATTCATGCTGTCACTAGATTTTTTTTACGCAGCACTGTACTCGGAGACATACCACAAGAGTGACTCCATTGTAATGGGCTCCTCGCCATTCCCAGGACAAGCAGCATTCCAGCGACGATGTGAATGCATTCTTTGTTAACGCGAAGCAATTTTTAATTCCTCACACTGACTGCATTGAATTGTACTGCATTCTACGATCGGTGTGTTAAACTCCGATGGTCAATGTGAAGGTCAGGACTCTGTCCAGATCACCCCGAATGCTCTCGATCTCGTGAGATCTTTGAAGCCGAGCAGAGACGAGCCCCGTACCGCGCTTGGAAGCTTCACCGCCATGGGCGCCTAAGGCAGGTGTAGTCAGCGTTGTGCGCAAGTAGAGGACACCGCAGCAATATCCATTGTTATTCCGAAATTCACAACCCCACCTTCATCAACTTCATACCAACGATCGTGGTGAAGTATGGTCAAAGATCCCTCGCGACTCGCACTTTCAGATGCGGCCGTCTGGAACGCTCTTCCGTCCGATATTGGGAAGTCACTGGAGCTTGTGCACTTTTAAATCTAGATTTAAAATTCCTTTCTTTAGAACTGCTTTTTTTGCTTTAGTTTGTTGTCCTTCCCCCGCACCTCCGATTCACGCGTTTGGCTACATATGGTGCGAAAAAAGTTCAAGATACATACATACACACAGGTGTAGGAGGAGGTCATCATCCAGCAGTGGAGAGATAAAAAAACAAGATGCACCACTTGACCTGAGTGTGTAGCAATGGACAGCTAGAATGTCTTGGCTCAGGAGACCCTTGCAAAAGAAATGGGTTCTCACCTGGTAAAATAAAGTCTGCGACGATGTATCGTGTATGTACACGAACAACCCTTTAGGCAATCCACTGCTGCATTAAGATCTCCCCACGCCTGTGCCGCTCGTGAGGATTATTTCACCATACTTCCCTACACTGGCGGGCGGCATTAGATGCGGATGCATTGATGTACAGTACAACAATGGATTCAGCTGCATTGCCATTTACTACCCACCACATAGGCAAGTCCATTCCTGCATCACAAGCTGCATGTGCACGGTCGGCGACCATCCAAGGACTATGCAGGCTCAATTCTGCTTTGCTTCCACGGGTCTAAAGAGAACAGGCATATTCCGGGCGATTTGCTCATAGGCCTATGACGATGATCAATTAATTACCACAAAGTCTGCCGGCTGCATGGAGACAACCAATAGGCAG